AAAAAAAAAAAAAAAAAAAATTCACAATCAATAATACCAATCACTTTGCCACGATATAGATTAATAAGGCTAAATGGTGAAGAAAAATGAACTTATGCACGTTTTCACGAATGCTAAAACATGAAATGCTTGAAAGATAGGTAGATACATGGAAAGCCAATGACTTCAAGTGTTGAGTGAAGAGCACAAAACATTTTTACAAATAATTCTGAAACCTTACATTAACTACAGTTAATAATAATTACTAATAATTATTAACTATAGTTAATCATTAAGTAATTATTAGATTCAAATACATAAATACATTATAAAAAGGTAAGAAATAAACAATTACTCAAAGATCTACAAAATGTAAAGATAATCAACAATACTAAAAACAAAACTTGTAGAACTCAACAAAAATTCAATTTTACTGTATGTTGATTTAAAAAAAATAAAATAAAAAATGCAACATTGAAAAAATAATTTGAAGATCAAAAGCAAAACTAAATCTAATGATGTCTAAATGACTTCATTTTATTTGGCAAATATTTATAAATGTGCTCTTCCAAAATTACAGAAAACATTTTATTTCTACTTGGTAGAAATAAAAAAATCTATTTCACACAAATATGAAAACATATTTGTGTCATTTTGTATAAATATTCAAGTTATGTTTCAACAAGTATTCCTTAGTATTCATCTTCCCATTGGGTAATAGACTATATTATTAGAAATACAACAAAGAAAGTTGTGGATATATCCCTTTCTTAGCCTTTATTTCATTACATAAAAAACATGATTTATAAAATACTCAAGTAATTCCCAACAAAATATCAGTAACATTTTATTATTCAAGAAATTACTCATTATTTTAACAACTAAGAGGTTATAAAAATTATTATTTTACCAATAGGTTTTAGTCTCAAATTCAGAAAACATATAATCATAATTACAACTACATAACGGCTAAACTCATTTTGAGACATAAAATTCATTTTCCTTTTACAACAATTCAAATCAATAAATACAAAATTTGACTTAAGATGCCTGGAATTTAAGAATCATTTGCCTCTAAAAAGTAGTCAACAGTCTCTACACAATTAGCTGTGGGTTCAGTAGAAACCCAAATTTTTCTAATAAGCACCTAGCTGATATATTATAACATGAAAGTAAAACAACAGTCTTATTTTGATAGCCAAATATATTGAGAGCTTAAATAATAGATGTTTTAAACTTCAGCTAATTTCAGCCTGTGGGAATTAAGTCTTGTTTCAGAGTCTGACCTACAAATTTAAGTCTAAGTCAAAGATACAGAAGTAATTAAAAGTACTGAATGCTCTTTAATGACACTCCCCAAAAAACAGTATCTAAAAAATACCTATTTCAACTTGAATTACTCCAAACAAGCTATTTATGTTGTAATACCTAAAAATATCATAAAAGTGTTCAACTTTTTAATGAGGAGAATTAGGATATTTAAATCTTTTCTTCCCCATTTATATTTTTATAATTTTTTTTTCTCAACATTTATTTATTTTTGGGACAGAGAGAGACAGAGCATGAACGGGCGAGGGGCAGAGAGAGAGGGAGACACAGAATCGGAAACAGGCTCCAGGCTCTGAGCCATCAGCCCAGAGCCCGACGCGGGGCTCGAACTCACGGACCGCGAGATTGTGACCTGGCTGAAGTCGGATGCTTAACCGACTGCGCCACCCAGGCGCCCCCCCATTTATATTTTTAAAAGTTTATTTTTTTTAGTAATCCCTACACCCATGTGAGGCTTGAACCCAGAACCCAGTGATCAAGAGTCACAAACTGTTCGGACTGAGCCAACCTGGTCCCTTCTTCTTCCCCATTTAAAAAACTAATTTAAAATGGAAATGTAGAAAAGTTAAGTAATTAGTAATAAAATGGGGAAGAAACCATACACTCACTACCTGATCTACTTCTATAATATTAATTTGTGAAATCTTTGGTTTTAGTCCATATATTGATTTGCCTTATTATCTCTATTGTACAAAAAAATTATTCTGTTAAGATGTCACAAACCTGATTTTGGAATTAATACCACCAATATGGGTTTGTTTCATTGGAGAGCAGAGTGAGGTATCTTGACTACTATCAGTATTAAGAGAAACTGAATCAGACATCCGAGATGGAGAAGAACAGTTGCTGTTATTCTGATTGCTATTGTGTGTAACTTCATCTGATAAAGAATCTGTATCCTTTGTATCATCTGAAACAAAAAAACTTAAGCCGTTGATAAAGTCACTAAGAATTTGTGTTTAATACTTTGAAGTGAAGACAAATGGCATTTATATTGTACTGGTTCAAATATATAAAAAATTATATGGATAAAAAGACAACCAAAGCCACTTTTGAAAATTCAGTCCTAATACACACAAACATTAAAGAATTTAAAACTCGTAATACCATTAGTTTTTGACAAATATAACATATGTTAAGGTTACCGAGAATTTGATTTAGTTTTTACTACTGGCAAGATGATATTACACAATGTTTTTCTAAGGACATCAATTAATTTTAGTGACTATGGCTTTTCCACTCAGTTACAATTGTCTTTTGAAAGTAGGCTCTATGCCCAATGTGAGGCTTGAACTCACAACCCAGAGATCAAGAGTTGCATGCCCTATTGACTAAGCCAGGCAGGTGCCCCCACATTCATTACTTTAAAAAGTCATAATAATAAAGAATAAATAGTATAGTTCACAGCTTAGGTAAATTTATCCGGGGAAGAAATTCTTTCATACATGTATGCAACCGTTTTGATCTATCCTGAAAATAAAAATGAGCAATACAGTCAATTAAAAAAAATTACCAATCAAGGAGTTTTCACAAGGTCAGCTCTCTTTTCCTGTTTTTAAGCCATTTCAAAGAACTGCATATGAAAAATAAACTATCAATATATGAAATGGCTTTTTTTTTATATAAACAGAAATAGACAATATTTATACTCCATTACAGACAGGTACCTTAAAAAGTATTATTTTTTTAAGTAATAATGAAAAGATAATAACTTGGGCACTTGGCTGGCTCAGTTGGTGGAGCACGCGACTGTGGAACTCAGCGTCAGGACTTCAAGCTCCAAGTTGGGCACAGAGCTTACTTAAAAACAAAACAAAAGAAGATAATAACAGTATTTTTACAACCCTAAAGGCTGTTTTTAACTAATACAATTCTACCCAAATCATAGAAACTGTATATATAGACACAGAAATAGGAGACTGTATGAATTAAAAATATTTTTTTTGTTCCAAAAGGAACACAGTTCAATTAGTCTGAATTTGTGTTTACACTTGGCAGTAATAGTACATAGGGCTTAGGATCTTCAATTTTAAGGTATTTGGGTGCTGGGTTTTTAATTTTTAAAATATCGTTAAACAAGATGGCAGGTAAGTTCTTTCCTAGACATATTCCTCTTCTTCTACCTCATTGTGACAGTTAGAAAGTAATATGTAAAATATTTAGCATAGTAATAAGCAGCAACTAGTAAGTACTCAAATATCACTACCACTAGTATCATGAAACCTAAACTATCTAAGGGCCAGCTGGATAGTAAGTTTCATTAATGCCATAAAGGAAAAGGCTGGATAAATATTTGGTAGAGATACTACAGACCAGTTCAGGCACTTATGGGGAGGAATGAGACAAGGATGAAAGGAAAGGATAGATACCCTTCAAATTCCCTTTCATTTCTAAGAAGTGCCTGAGATTCTATGTTACATGAAAAATGACTAGGGTGTGGGAATGGTTTAAAAAAGAGTTCTAGGACAGAAAAATAACAATAAGCAGCTATTCTACATCAGATACAGTGCTAGATCTGAGTACAATGAATAATCTAGTACATCTGATACTCATAAAGTCCTTCATTAGCCTCAGTGTATGTCAAGTCAGGTAACTTCATATGGATAGAATTAAGTAGCTCAAGGATTACATGGTAAGTAAGTGGCAGAAATGGAATCATAATCCAGTTTTGTGTGCCTGTGAAGCCCATGACCTTATAAGTAAACTTGTATGAGGGAAGAGAAAAAAAATCTAACAATATTCTTCTTTAAAAACTAGGAAGATTAGGAACAGAACTTTTAAAAAAGCATGTTTTAAAAATTGTTTCTAAAAAGTATTTTAAGTAACATAATGATATTTAGTGAAATTTATTTCAAAAAAAATTTATAAATTTGATAAATCCAGCCCATTTCTATTCCTAGTGCTTTCAATATCTAACCTTTTTTGTTATTACTAAGAGCTACAACTTTTGGCTGGTTAATAGAGCTTTCAATTAATGGTGGTCGCATCTCTGCCATTTTCATCTCTTCATCAGAAGAAAGTTCTTCAGATTCCTAATGTAAAGAAAAAAGAAAGAAAATATTTAAATAAATTTTGGTTTCTTTAAATGAATACATATTAACTCATAAGAACTTCAAAGAGAAAAGAATATTTAGAACATGGATGAAACTTTTTTATGGTAATATTGACTAAAACTAGTATATGATTTAAATTTTTCAAGATATGGCAATAAAACTAAGGTAATTATTAACAATATGTCGAATGGCTATGGGATAAAATTCCGTGGTAGGCCTTAATTCAAGTGTATTAATGATTACTATGTGCTGTTACTATGTCAAGTGCTACAAATACAAAAATGAATAAAACATAATCCCTGTCTTAGAAAAACTTGTTTAGCAAAGGTGCTCCAAAAAAAGTCCCTTCCGAATTTCTCAAATTTATTCTAAAATTATCAGGTTCCAAGGAATCAGAAGGACTGATGTATTCTTCTATTAAAATGAATTCATGGCAATTTTTGCCCAATTTGAAGACAGAGTTTTTTATTAATCTCCATGAATTTTTCTCTAATATTTGGCAACTATCCCAGATTATCTGCCACTGAGTGCTACTAAGTGAAAGGGGGTGCAGGGGAGGGAGGAGGGGCTGGTAGTGAACAAACATTTATACAAAAATTTTAACAATGCGCATACTCTCTATATAAAAACAAATCTTTTGCACGTTAAATTATTCATAGTTAAGGATGAAAATAAATAAAAATTCTTAAAAACTGTTCTGTTAAAAGTACTAAGACTTTTAGGTACTCACAAGTGACATAATAAAGACATGGACCAGGGTCAGCAAACTATTTCAGTAAAAATGCCAGATCATAAATATGTTACACTTCAAGGGCCCTAAAGGTCTCTTCAACTACCCAACTCTGTCACTGTAGCACAACTTTGCCACAGACAACATATAAACAAATGACTGTGGCTATGTGCCAGAAAAACTGAATTTCACCTAATTTTTCACATGTTGTGAAATATTCTTTTGATTTTTATTCAACCCTTTAATAACATAAAAGCTGTTCTTAGCTTGCAAGCCATATAAAAGACAGGCAGTGGGCCAGATATAGGCCACAGGCCATACATAGTTTGCCAAATCCCATTTGTAGGACTGTACTACAATGGAAAGAGACTTCTAATTAGAATAGTCAGACAAAGTAAAAGTGGAAGTAAGAGAAGTGAAGGGTGAGGTAAGACAGGAATGACATTCTGAACAGAGGAAAGCATGGAAATAAGAGAAGGTATGTAAAGCATGTCAACTCCATGTAGTTGGAGCTCAGATAACTGGCAGGAGACAGAAAAGTTAGGTTGGACTGAGTAGGAAATTATGTGTTGGTCATTATTGGACGTTGCCAAGCCAGGAACTCGCAACATGAGATTATCTTTTAAAATGATAACTCTGGGGGCACCTGGGTGGCTCAGCCGGTTGGGCATCTGACTTCGGCTCAAGTCATGATCCCACGGTTCTTGGGTTCAAGCCCTGTGTCAAGGTTTGGGCTCTGTGCTGACAGCTCAGAGCTCAGAACCTGGAGCCTGCGTTGGATTCTGTCTCCCTCTCTCTGCCCCTCCCCCACTCATGCTGTATCTCTCAAAAATATATAAACATTTAAAAAATACAAAAATAAAATGGTAACTCTGGTATTAAGAATATATGGGAAGAGAAAGAAACCGGCAGAAAGGGATCTAGCTATCCTAACAGTCCTAATGAAAAAACTTTATCTGTCCTTAGCCAATGGCAGTGATGACAGCTGATAAAGAAATAAAGAATTTGAAAGAAATTTTGGCACTAACAGGACTTAATGATAAAATGAATGCAAAAAACGAGAGAGCAAAAGAAAGAAGGGCAAATGGTTTGTCCTAATCTTTGACATGTGCAGTACTTTCAACTGCTGAGCAGACTTCCTTCTTCATGAATTATACTACACCTGGGTGTCTGGGAGCTGTAGCCTCCTCGATGTCCTACCTTTCTGTCTTTTGTGCTCAAATCAATGAATCCTCCTGCAGTTAGCATTTATTTTTGCCTTTCTTACTCTTTCCCCTTGGATATTGCATTTTCTTCAATGATTATGTGTAATGTAGATAATTTGATTTATAATCTCGTTTTCGTCTCTCTTCTAAGCTAAAGATACCTGTTAAGTGTTCAAATTCCACATATCCAAAAACAAACTAGACCTTCTAAGCCTGTTTGTTCTTTTAACACCCCACCTCAGTTGATGGCATCATCATCCGTTCAAACATGGTTATGTGACTGTCCCCTCTCCCCCATTCCTTACAGTCAGGAATATTTCCATACTAAATCTCTTACATTTGGACAACTAAGTTCCAGTCCACATTGTCTACTACTATTATTCAAAAAGCCCTCAAGCTTGGGAGAATTCAGTAGCTGTTGCCAGCTAACCCTAATACATAGCTCTATCACAAGTAATGCTCTGCTAAAAGGCCTTCATGACTCCTCAAAGACTATACAACAATTCATAGCATGGCTTTCAAGAGCCTCATCATCAGGACCCAATCTACTGTACTAATTTTGTTTCATTCCACCACCCTGATATGCTCAGCTAGATAAAACATGTTCTTTTCTATATTTCTCAAACACCACTCTTATGCTACCATTATTCCTTTCATACTTTATTCAGTTCTCCTATTTCTGTTAGATGAACTATTCCAAGGTATAGGTTAAATGCTTCCTTCACCCTAAAGCATTCTTGGTTGTTCCTAGCCAGAAAGTATCTCTTTTCTAAATTTATGTAGCACTTAATATTTTTATTACTTAGTATTTTTCTTATACACTCAGCATTGTCTAACCCTAATTATATTCTATATACCCATTTATCCATTCTGCCACCAAAGCTCCAAACACAATGCCTCACACACAGAATTGTACTAAATGAAGTATTAAGTACACTGGGACAAACCTTATAACCTTTTCACAGACTTTGTTATATTAGGTTCAATGTATATAATAAGTGTACTGAAAGATGTGATCCATTCAAAATACATTTACAAACCATGAAGTTTCTTTCTGGTAGTAAATACTAGCTCAAAGGATAACCCTGAAGACAGATGTGCTTTGAATGCATTTAAGTTTTCAGGAATAAAGAGGCTATTATAAACCCACAGTATCACTATTTGTATACTATTCTCCAACAGAACTTTCTATAATGACAGAAATGCTCTATCTGTGCAGTTCAACTTGGTAAACACTAACTAGCTAGACATGTGGCTATTGACCACTTAAAATGTAGGCTAGTAAAACTAAGAAGCAAAGTTCTTTATTTAAGTTTAAATAGCCACTTATAACTAGTGGATACATAGTGGACAATGTAGCTATAAATCAAAAACCCTCCAGAATTTTATTTTGTAAAGTTAGAGCTTTACTATTTTACATGACTTCCACCAGCATATGAGGGGAATGCAAACAAACAAAAGGTGTGGCCGCTTATGAAAAACTGGCAGTTTCTCACACGGGTAAACACAGAGTAACCATACAATTCAACAATTCCTCTCCTAGGCATATATCTAACAAAAAAGAAAATATACACCGACACAAAAATCTGTACACAAATATTCACAATAGCTTTATGCACTATTGCCAAAATGCGGAAATAACCAAAATATCCATTGTTAACAATTACAATGGAGTATTACTGACATAAAAGTGAACTGATACATAAAAAAATGAACCAATATAATAAAACAGTATTGATACATGTTATAATATGGATAATCTAAAATACTAAGTTAAAGAAAAGTTACAAAAGACCAGCTATCATATGATTACATCATTAATATAAAATGCCAACAACAGCCAAATCTACAGAGGCAGATAAAGTAGATAAGATGTCTAGGACTCAGGGGTACAGAGAAGTTGTGGGGAAATGGCTAAGAAGTATTGGATTTCTTTCTGGGGTAACAAATGTTCTACAAGTAATGTAGTGAAGGATGGACAACTTCTAGTATACCAATAGTCACTGAATAGTACCCTGTATTTAAATGGGTGAATTATATAGTATGTGAGTTATACCTTAATCAAGCTGTTAAAAAAAAAAGTCACAGCTTTTATTGATCCACCAGAAGACTCTTTAAAGTCTCAGATGCCACCAAAAAACTACTAGAACTGATAAATGAACTCAGAAAGCCACAGGATATAAAATCAATATACAGAAATCCGTTGCATTTCTATACACTAAAAATGAAGTAGAAAGAGAAATTAAGAAAATAATCCCACTTACAATTGCTCCAAAAATAATAAAATACCTAAGAATAAACTTAACCAAGGAGGTTAACTCTAAAAACTGCAAAACACTGATGAAAGAAATTGAAGATGACACAAACAAATGGAAAGATATTCCATGCTCATGGATTGGAAGGACAAATATTGTTAAAATGTCCACGGTACCCAAAGCAGTCTATAGATTTAATGTAATCAATATCAAAATACTAATAGCAGTTTATAAAGAACTAGAACAAATAATCCTAAAATTTGTATGGAACCCTCAAAGACCCCAAAGTAGCCAAAGCAATCTTGAAAAAGAAGAATGGGGGCACTGGCTGACTCAGGTGATAGACCATGTGACTCCTGATCTCAGGGTTGGTAATTCAAGCCCCACGCTGGGCATGGGACCTACTTAAAACAAAGCAAACAAAATAAAATAAAGAAGAACAAAACTGGAAGTAGAATAATCCCAGAATTCAAGATATACCACAAAGCTGCAGTAATCAAAACAGTATGATATTGGCACAAAAACAGAAACATAGATCAACGGAAGAGAAAAGAACCCAGCAATAAACCCAGTCATATAGTCAATTAATCCTCAACAAAGCAAGAAAGAATATCCAATGGGAAAAAGAATGTCTCTTGAACAAATGGTGTTGGGAAAAGTAGACTTCAACATGCAAAACAATGACACTGAATCACTTCCTTAAACCATACACAGAAATAAACTCAAAATGGATTAAAGGACCTAAATGTGAGAAATTCTAGGAGAGAACAAAGGCAGTAATTTCTCTGAGATTGGCCATAGCAACATTTTTCTAGATAATGTCTCTGGAGGCAAGAGAAACAAAAGCAAAAATAAACCATTAGGACTACATCAAAATAAAAAGCTTTTGCAAAGCAAATAATAAAACTAAAAGACAACCTACTGAATGAAAGAAGATATTTGCAAATGAACATCTGATAAACGGTTAGTATCCAAAATATATAAAAATGTACACAACTCAACATCAAAAAACCCCCAAATAATCCGATTAAAAAATGGGCAGAGGGGCGCCTGTGTGGCTCAGTCGGTTAAGCGTGTGACTTTGGCTCAGGTTATGATCTTGTGATTCATGAATTCAAGCCCTGCATCAGGCTCTGTGCTGACAACTGAGAGCCTGGAACCTGCTTAGGATTCTGTGTCTCCCTTTCTCTCTGTTCATCCCCTACTTGTACTCTGTCTCTCTCTCTCCCAAAGATAAGTAAACATTAAAAAAAAAAAAAAAAAGATTAAAAAAAATGGGCAGACAACATTAAAAGACATTTCTCCAAAGAGGTCATACAGATGGCCAACAGACACATGAAAAGATGCTCAATATCACTCTTCACCAGGGAAATGCAAATCAAAACCACAATGGAGTATCACCACACCTGTCAGAATGGCTAAAATCAAAAGAAACAACAAGTATTGGTGAGGATGGGGAGAAAAAGGAACCCTCTTGCACTGCTGTTGGGAATGCAAACTGATACACTCACTGTGGAGAACAATATGGAAGTTCCCCCCCAAAATTAAAAATAGAATTACTATATGATCCAGTAATTTCACTACTGGGTATTTACCCAAAGACTATGAGAACACTAATTTGAAAAGATATATACACCCCTATGTTTTTTGGCATTATTTATAATAGCCAAAATATGGAAGTAGCCCAAGTGTCTGTAGATAGATGAATGGATAAAGAAGTAGATATACACACAACAGAATAGTATACAGAAAAAAGAAAGAGATCTTGCTATTTGCAACAACATGGATGGACCTAGAGAGTATTAATTTTAAGTGAAATAAGTCAGAGAAAGACAAATATCATATGACTTCACTCATAAATGGAATTTAAGAAACAGAACAAAGGCAAAAAAAGAAACAAATTGAGAATCAGACTCTCAACTACAGAGAACAAACTGATGGTTACCAGAAGGGAGGTCAAAGGAGGGATGGGTGAAATAGGTGATGGGGATTAAGGAGAGCACTTGTTATAATGAGCACCAGATAGTGTATGGAAGTGTTGAATCACCATATTGTGCACTTTATTTTTTTTATATTAGTCTCTTTCATCTTAAAAAAAAAATTTTTTAATCTTTATTTATTTTTGAGAAAGAGAGCAGGGGAGGAACAGAGAGAGGGAGACACAGAATCCAAAGCAGGCTCCAGGCTCCAAGCTGTCAGGCACAGAGCCCGATGTGGGGCTCGAACCCACGAATCGTGAGATCATGATTTGAGCCGAAGTCCGACGCCTGACTGAGCCATCCAGGCGCCCCTCTTTTATTTTTTTAAAATATTCATGCGAGAGAGAGAGTGCAAGCAGGGGAGGGTTAGAGAGAGAGAGGGAGAGAGAGAGAATCCCAAGCAGACTTTATGCTGCAGCGCAGAGCCCGATGTGAGGCTTGAACACATGAAGTGTGAGATCATAACCTGAGTCAAAATTAAGAGTCGGACGCTCAACTGACTAAGCCACACAGGTGCCCCGGGTCCCTTTTATTTAAAAAAACTTTTTTTTTATATTGTACACCCTTAGCTAATATAACACTGTATGCTAACTATACTGAAATTTTAAAAATCGCAGACATTCAAGAAAAAAATACTTCGCAATTAAGCAATGATAAATGCTTAACGAGTGAAATAATTTAAATACACCAATGGTAACCTTTTCATTGTTAAGTTTCATTGTTAAGCAACTGCTATTATGTATTTAAAGAATTAGAATAGAACCACCATGATCTAATTTACACAGTAAACATCTGAGTGCAATGCAGGTAGAAAATTTTAAGTTCAAAGTGATAAATGAGAGATACTATAGCACACATCATGAGATTTCTTTATGGCAAATGAGTTAGCATATTTTGTTTTCAGTATCAGTTTTCTTCTATCTTTAGTTAGCAACGATGAAATACTAAATTCTTACAGTTGTTAACAACTAATTGTTCCAGAGAATAATCACAAAGCCATACCTCAAAAACATCATCATGATTAACGATATGCTTCAAGTTCTCAGAAGCTTTCGTGTTTGCAGTCACTGGTTGACTTCCAGGACTAATCTCAGCTTCAGATTCACTGGTCTTCTGTGGAGAGTTTCCTATCATATACTTTTCTCTTTCATCAGCTTTGATTCTCACTGGAGTGGTACTTTCTGAAGTCTAAGTAAAAGAAAAGATAAAGAATTCATATTCCTTAAAGCTTTGTATCTATTTTTTTTACTACAGTTCAGATTAGAATTTAAAAGTAGGAGCTCCTGGATGGCTAAGTAGGAAGAGAGTGTGACTCTTGATCTCGGGGTTGTGGGTGTGAGATACACAGTGGGCGTAGAGATTATTAAAAAAAATAAATATTTTAACATCTTCCTATTCTGAATAAATCAAGGAAACTTTAAAGATGGAAATCTGCAGCACTCACAGATAAATATGCATTCGGGGAGCGGGGGGTCACCAAAGTTTCATGAACCACATTAAACTCTACAATTTAGCGGAGGCTACATTTCATCTCAAAGGCTGCAAAGCTGGTGTTCATGAGTGAGTCATTTAGCTCAGCAAGGTCAAAATCAAGATGGTTAGATTGTTTTCTGCTGAATGTACAATATATAGCAACTCTAGTGATGTGGTAAAACTTTTGTTTCTGTGATATAATGTGGGAAAGAAAATCCCATTAAAGGAACACACACTTTAAGGATTTGTCTAGGTTTCTGAAACATCCCAAGGCAAGTACCATGGTCTGTCATAGCAATTACATTTAAAATTAGAATTGGGTAGGGTGGGTCAATGTTCTCAGGGGAAAAACAGTATTTCCATAACAATAAATTTAAGGATATTCGTTATCTTATTTTTTTTTTCAACGTTTATTTATTTTTGGGACAGAGAGAGACAGAGCATGAATGGGGGAGGGGCTGAGAGAGAGGGAGACACAGAATCGGAAACAGGCTCCAGGCTCTGAGCCATCAGCCCAGAGCCCGACGCGGGGCTCGAACTCACGGACCGCGAGATCGTGACCTGGCTGAAGTCGGACGCTTAACCGACTGCGCCACCCAGGCGCCCCCGTTATCTTATTTTTTATTCAGACAAGATTTTTTAAAAGTTATGTTGATGCTATCCTGCCCATCTGGAAAGCCTATAACCATACTGAAGTGGTAAGAATAGCAATTAGAGAGTTTGCTAATTATTCCAGCTCTTACTTCAAATAGCCGGGAACAGCCTAAATCTGGGAGGACATTATACAAAAAGAATCATTATATAAATTATTAAAGTTTTAAAGTGCTTGAAATAAGTTTTAGTCAATTCTTTTATTTTTAATTTTTTTTTCAGTTTACTTACTTATTTTGAAAGAGAAAAAGAGAGAGGGAGAGAGAGAATGAGAGCAGGGGAGAGGCAGAGAGAGAGAGGGAGAGAGAGAATCCCAAGTAGGCTCTGTGTTGTCAGTGTAGCGCCCGACGTGGGGTTCAATCCCATGATCTGAGATGATGACCCTGAGCTGAAATCAAGAGTCGGCCGCTCGACTGAATGAACCACCCAGGTGCCCCTAGTCAATTTCTTTAAAATGAGTTTTCTGGGGTGCCTGGGTGGCTCAGTTGGTCGAGGGTCAGACTCTTGGGTTCAAGTCAGGTCATGATCCTGGGGTCGTGGGATTGAGCCCCATGTCAGCTCCGTACTGAGCGTGGAGCCTGTTGAGGATTCTTTCTCCCTCCTTCTTCCCCTCTCCCCTGCTCCTGTTCTATCTCTAAAAACAAATTAAAAAAAAAAAAAATTTAAAATGAGTTTTCTAACCTTCACACCCACATCATTATTTACAACTTGCTGATCTTCATGTGGTTTCAAATCTTTTCCAGAATCTTCATAAGTCTCTTCATCTTTTAATCTATGTACAATGGTTTGAACAGTTTTGACCATATTCTTAAGCTCATCTGGGTATGGTGTTGGATATCTCTTTAAATTTCCCTCCTAGGGAAATAAAATAAATGAAATTTGAAATATGGATAAATATTTTAACATCAACCTCAAAATTTAATCTACAATGCATCTTAATTACATTGGTTATCTGGCTCCTGGGGTAGCTTTAAAAACAGAGGATAGGCCATTGAAAGCATTTTAGACACAATAAAAGCATGGTTTTATCAACAGTAAAAGAATTTATAGTTACAGATTTAACTAATGTTTTGAAACTTTTTTTTAGCAGACTTAAATATATTCCATTTTAAGATTTATGGTGTGGATATTGCCAATACCATCGCTAGGCTTTCAAACAGTTGTTTTCTGGTATTTACCCAGACATATATAAACCTCCTACAATTATATACATCTTATATGCCAAGAACCAAGTACTTCCAAAGTCAGCCTAATGTCACTTTCTGGGATTCAGCTAGTTTACATAAGGTAAAAATAATTACATTCATGAGTAACTTGGAAATGTATTATTCACTACTTGTCACTGTCACACTCTCAATCTCATAAAGAAAAAATTGTTCAAAACAGAATTCTTTATCTCTAGAATATAAGTAAATAATAATAAATCATTTAAAAAAGGGAAGAGGGAAAAACAATCAGGTTTTTCTCTTCAGGACTCACCCGGGGAGGTGCTTCCCTTTCATCTTTGTCTTCATCACAATCAAATGCCACTTGAGCACGCTGTTTCCTCTGTTCCTCCCACAATGAAGGATTAAAACTTTCATTATCTGATATGAACATAACTAGAGGAAAACAAACAAAAAACAAAAACAAAATCCACTATATTTTACAGTATTATGAAAAGCTACTACTTGTTTATAACTTTCTTTAGGAATAACATTCATTAAGTTAAGACTGGTCAATGCCACCAGCATTAAATGCTACATTAAGAAGTAGGCTGTGATTCTAGTATTTCTTTACAATATTCATCATGTATCTTTTCTTCCTTAAAGGTAATGTGTCTTGTTACCAGAAGGGTTCCTGGTAAGAATCTAACAATTACAACAGGGTAGAAAGGTGACTGTGTGCAGTTTCCTACAAAAATCAGCATGGTAACAGTGCTCACTTCAGCAATACATATACCACATGGTAATATATAAATTATTTCATCCAAGTTTTTGCATTCAGAATAATCTTCCCAATTCCAATATTGTTCATTATGTATGGGGGAAAGGAAGGTGAAGACAAAGTGAGTTATTTTGAGTTAAAAAAGATTACCCTGAAGCCTTGTAATTACATCCTTGCATTAAACATGATACTTTATATAGCTTTACTTAAGTAAAGTGCTTACAAGATATTTTTTATATCAAAATGCAAGGAAAATTAAAAATCTAATATAAACTCAACACTATATATCCTCCTATGCAACATACAATTAAAGGTAAAGATTTAACAGCTGTTACAGTTTTTCAATTAGGCAACTAAGACAGATCTAAGGCTTAAAAATTAATCCATTTGTCTATTATATATCACCATACAGAAGTTTGTGCAATACAAGATCAAATCACAAATTGTTTTCTGCCAATTAAAAGAAAATGACTATACCTACTCAAAAGGAATTAAAAGCACCTAAAATTAGCGAACAGAAAAAAATGAAATTCCTGGAATACCCATATGTGGTCAGTTTGAACACTTATGCAAAAGTAGCATAAACACTGTTAATTTTTAGTCCTTATTTTGGGCTTCTTACCATACTTTAATTTCATATCCAAACTAAATACCACAAAACCAAATATGAACAATTGGAATCGAGTTTTTGTCTTCAGCTTTTCCTTGTTTTCATTACCTGGTTCGAGAATTTTTTCTTTAATTACTTTGTGGCATTGCTCAACAGCTAATGAACCAGAAAGTTAGTTTTTGTTTGTTTGTGGAATGTGATTCAAATTCCTAGGAATATCTATAGATTTCTGTTGTAGACTTGGGAAGGTAAGCCAACCCAAGCAGTCTGCAGCAACCTACTTCCAGGCAGTAATTTTAATCACCAGCCTAGGCCAGAAATCCCTTAACTGTTTTTACATCATGCCAAAGTAATCTTACGCTAGAACTTTTTCAGAACCTTAAGATAAGTAACTTTCACCATGCCTTTCATTCTTGCCAACTTCTGGTCACTTACACTTTCCACCCTTTAGTATAAATCTCACATCTTTTGAGATGCAGGGTATCAGGTGATACTATCACTTTCTCTGTATTTTAGACTCTGTATTTTAGCCACTAAGACTGATCACCCTGGCATATTCATGGAAGATTCTAGTGTTTGCCTACAGTCTTTCTCTCCACTTAAAACCTGCCAATATCCTGAATGATAACGTGTGAAGACCACCACCCCCCTCCACTTCAACACTACAATTTCATAGTTCCTCAATTTCCTCATTCCAATATCCACCTGCATTTCACCAATGTGATTCCTAACCATGGTCACACTCAAGACCTAGGCTTCTGTAACTCTTCCTCCTCCTTGACCACTACACACTTGTCCTTTCAAATCATTCACTTCCCTATTATTGTTCGTAAACTTTGAGTTCCTTATTCTCATTTCTTATTCTCCCTGTAAAATCACTCTAGGTTTTACTTTCTTTTCTATCCAGCTTAGATTGCATGATATATTATTTTAACCACTCTCACATTTCTTGCCCCTTTTCCTTAGGTAATACCTATTCAACAAAACCCATAATGTGTTACTTCAATCACCTTCTTTGTTTTGGACTGCTGACTTCTACCGGAGAAGAGTGACATCACCTTGTTGTTTAGAACCATTACATACTTATGGTATCCCCTCATCTTTGCTCCATCTTCAGCGCCGCCCAGGAATCCTATTTATTTCTAGTTGGTCTTTTCTCCCACTATAAGTCACTTACCTCAAAGGTCCTTCCCTCAACCTCTAGAGGCAATTTTTTTCTTTGAGATCAGTGAGTAAAGAAAAGCAATCAAAAGCCTCAAACTGATAAATGCCCCCACACCTGCAACAACCTGCTTCCCCCAGCTACAAACTGTTATATGGATGCATACTTCCCATTCAACAATGATTCCTCTAAGTAGGCCCAAAATACCAGGCCTTCTCTTTCAAATTCACTCATCATTATCCCCCTCTACAACAGGAGCTTCTTTTTTTTTTTTTTTTTTTTTTTTTTTTTAAGATTTTATTTTTAAGTAATCTGTACACCCATTATGGAGCTTGAACTCACAACCCTGAGATCAAGAGTTGTGTGCTCTACCAACTGAGCCAGCCAGGTGCCCCAGAACACGAGCTTCTTGAAAGCATGGATTTTTCCTTTTAAATATTCAGATTTAACACACTGCTTAGATCTAACACAGGTGTTCAATAAAAATTGAATGAATTTGGGGCACCTGGGTGGCTCAGTCGGTTGAGCGTCCGACTTCAGCTCAGGTCATGATCTCACAGCTCTTGAGTTGGAGTCCCACATGGGGCTCTGTGCTGACAGTTCAGAGCCTGGAGCTTGCCTGGGATTCTGTTTCTCCCTCTCTCTCTGCCCCTAACCCACTCACATTCTGTCTCTGTCTCTCTCAAAAATAAATAAACATTAAAAAAAATTGAATGAATTAAATGTGAACAAAGCATCTATTCCTCTTAAAGTATATAAAACTCCAAGTCAAGAACACTGTGTTTTCTGACTTGTTTATTTCTTTGAGGCAAAGTCATAAAGGAAAAAGCTTTTACTGCATTTGAAAAGAAATCCACCCAGTTGGCCATGTCAATGTAGTTTCTGATTTGGTATTGTAAGTGCAGTATGTTACAGTGCTATATGGAAATACTTTAAGAAACACGTAAACTCTACAAGGACTTAAACATTCTAACTGTATCTCAGACCTATCCTTTTAAGACTCTTCCATTCTAAAACACATCTCTCAAATCAAAAATTCAAAGTGGCAAGATTTTATTTTGCTACTTCTACTCTTTGTATCAGAAATAAATTTCTTAACTGAACTATGACCTCTTTTAAAAAGAAACAGTAGGAGGATAAATTGAAATGACAGAAATGATAGAAGGCCAGGTAAATCTGAATCATGAAAACAGAAGACAATAAGAGAAATCAAAGCATGAGTACACCCATGATTAGAACAGTTCTAAGCAGCAGTCACCAACTTCTGTTAAGTGGTCAGATAATAAATATGGTTAGCTTTGTGAGCCCAGAGACCAATGTGAAGACACTATGGTAGGTGCTTAGGACAGAAATCAAATTTCCACAAGATTTCTGACAAATTTAAGATATATGTACTAATAACTGAGTACCATTATTGTATTATAGTTCTACCAATGAGAAGACTGAAGGTTTCGCTGTTAGGAGTAACATTTTGCTTAACTGGTGCTGGCTATCATCAAACTGATGCAAAGAGTCACCTGTAAAAACTATTCTTACCTTGTGGGCCACACAAAAACAGGTAGCAGGCCAGACATGGCCCATGGGCCACAGTGTGTCAATCACTCTGACTGGAACAAAAAGTGTTATGACAAAAGATATTTATCTGGTTGTTCCCTGGAAGGGGGTCTTCAACAATATCTCACATTATGTCTTTAATACTTTAGTTCATTATTCAAATAAAAAGATATAAGCTGTTGAGTAGTTTTATTCATTGTTGGAATCATGTTTGGTTATTTGAGTGTGCGTTAAAATGAAAGCAAAATAAAACATTCTCAGGTCTCTATATGGCAGTGACAAAAGCAAAGAGGGAAAGCACTAATACCACATGAATATAATAATATCAAAGATTAAATATGTCCTTTACAGACTTGGTTTCTTCTCAAAGGAAAAAATAATTTTGTTCAGAATCTTCCTTCAGAATAATATCTGTATTTGATTTTTAATAATTACCAGTTTTTATTATTTTTCTAAAGTAAAAGTAGCAAATGAGAATAAAAACAAATTTTCCCAATGTGTTGTTCCTATCGTTTAAGACAGGGACAGAAAGTTATTAAGCTTTTTTTTTTTTTTAACCATTTATTCATTTTTTGATAGAGACAGAGAGTGAGTGGGGGAGGGGCAGAGAGAGAGGGAGACAGAATCTAAAGCAAGCTCCAGGCTCTGAATTGACAGCACAGAGCTCGATGCGGGGCTTAAACTCATGGACCGTGAGATCATGACCTGAGCTGAAGTCGCTTAATCGACTGAGCCACCCAGGTGCCCCCAGGGACAGAAAGCTATTAAATCTGGCCCACTTTCTGTTTTTGTATAGTCTACAACCTAACAATAGTTTAAAAATTTTTAAATACTGGGGGGAAAAAAACCCAAAACATAAAAAAATTTTTCATAATACATGAAAATTACATGAAATCTAAATTTCTCTGTCCATAAATAAAATCTTATTAGAACACACCTATGCTCATTTGTTTACATATTGTCTGTGACTGTTTTTTGCACTAAACAGGCAGCATCAAGCAGCTATCACAGAAACCTATGGTCTATGAAGCCTATATTTATTAAATTGTCCTTTACTTAAATAATTTGCTGCCCCATCAACAGGAAGGACATTAACGTCTCTTCTTACACTAAGAATTTATTCTTCCTTTTCCTCACAAATATTTTAAGTATTAACATTCTATCTTCCCACATAAAAGAAAAACTATTAGAATATATTATGTCTGGCTGGCAGTAATACTATTTATAGCGATACTCACTCTTACTAATTTCTAATATCCAGAAATCAACTTCAGAGATAAAATTGGAAATTGACACATCAATTCCAGTGACTATGGCAAACGAAGAAAAAAACACCTACTGATGTATCCAAACATTCACTATAATTCCCCACAATGCAAAATCGGGCATAAGCCAGAGTTAGTGGTATATCTATTTTGAATTTTTTCTTTTTTTTTTTTTTT